AGATAACTAAGAAATAAAAATGAGAATATTATCAATATAGAAAAATAAGAAATGAAAATTAAGATTTTGTATATTATCACGGTAGAAAAATAAGAAATTAAATTAACTATCTTGTACATTATTAGCATAGAAAAAAGAGAAATAAAAAATAAGATTTTGGGTATGGGTGTGGAGTGTGGATGTGGGAGGATTCTCTTCGCTTACACTCACACCAGGGTGGCCAGATCTCCTGATTTTTCAGAATTTTTCTGATTTTCAGCATCTTTTCTGATGGTTTTCTGCTTTCTGATTTTTTCTGATTTTGAAGGTTTTTATTTTAATTGTTCTGTACGAGTTAAGAATCTGATCTGACGCCACAACGAAGTTTCCAAGCTCAGTCATGTTTAGTTGACTCTTTTGTATTTAATCTGTAGTTGATTTTTCCTACATCTCTCTGCATCCACTAGTTGATTAATGGTGTGTCATAGTAAGCAAAAGCATTAGTTTGCGAGTAAAAAGTGTAGTTCTTCAAGAAAGAAAATGTCGATATTGTAATATAATTATTTATAATTTCTACTTTCTAATTCCTCATTTTGAGTTACCTAGCATGTCATTTATTCTATTTACTAATAGCTATAGCTCTAGTTGAGGCAGTGTTCTTTTCTAGATACATGCACGTTAAACTCGAAACAAAAAGTTTTTGTTCAGCCTTTTGAAATATATTTGATTTCTTAGTAAATGTTAGTTCTGTCTCCACGTTATTAATTTTTGTAGTTTGAACTAACAAAATCCGTAAAAGTAGGTTTTTAACTACTCCAGAACAACGAGAAAATGCCGAAATCAGAAGTGGAGGATAATTAATTATTTTGTTGAAGCTCTCGTCTCTGTAATGGAGTGAATACAGGAATCAATTGGTTTGAAACTCTTCGCTTCACTATTAAATTGCTAACAAGTTGACTTTATCTGTGCAATTATTTCTATAGATATCATCTCTTCCAGCCATCGCTGGCCAAAACAGCGAACCAAAGAGTTGTAATAACGGACAGAGCGGCATTCTCTTTTAATGGTTGCTTAGTTCCGACTTTCAAGATTGTGACTAGTTCTTTCTAGTACGCAACACTAAACATATTGAATTCGAAAAATAGGTTCTATATTAGACTAACCCATGCCAGGAGTACTGAGTGAAAACCGATGGCTTATTTCGGTTATTGTCATAACCGTCGATTGACCGTTGTTATTTTCTTTGTTCCCACGATTTTCCAGTGTAAAAACCGACGGTTAATCTCTCAGTGAATCAGATCGCTTAGTGATCAGCCGACAATTTACCGATTACTAATCCGGTTAAATAGGAGCTTGGCTGAGATTAACCGTCGAGTTTTATCCTGAAAAATCGTGAGAACAAAGAAAATAACCACGGCTAGTCGTCAGTTACGGAAATAATAGAAACAGATCCGCATTTTTCGACCGATCCGAATGATATAGGAAACATCAGTGCTGATATTTCACGTTGAACACACTTTCTGATTTTCTTCTGATTTCGATGAATCTTTTTTCTGTCAATTTTCTGATTTTTGAATTATTTTTTCTGATTTTGAAATCTTTCATCTGGCCATCCTGACTCACACCCACATCCACACCCATACTCACACACCCACACCCACACCCTTCATAGTAAAAACAAACGATAATTATTTTATTGACAACAAAATTCATGATTACTTTAATTCACGTCAAAATTTTTCGTTTAAAGCATTTACATTCTGGTTAAAACTCGATTTTAGACTTCGTAACATTATTTAACGTACTGAATTATATATATATAGAGAGAGAGAGATTGATTTTCATATTTTTTCCTAGAATTGAGTTCATTGTGATGGTTAATAAAACAAAACTCATTTGAAAGACAAAAATGAAAATTGAAGCTGTATTATGATAAAAAATTTAGAAACATTTATATACATGATAGAAAAAGAAAAAAATGGTTATTATGCATTGCTGCTACTACTTCATATAACTAAATTAGCTTTATCATGATCAATTTCTTTTCTTTGACGAAGAGGCGATGCAGAAGTAGCTATATAAAAAATAAAACAAAAAATATAAACTTTTTCGTCTTGGCTTTGATAGGAGTAATTAAACTTCGACATTTAATTTAGCTGGTTCGTCAAACTATTAGATGCTGTTGCTGTTGTTGCAGCAAACATTGAATAGCAATCACTGGTGGTAATTCCTTAAACAAAACATTTAATGAATTTTTATTTGTAATTGTTGACTGATCTCTTGCTGTAGTAGATTGAACATTTACAAATCAAGCTGTATTTTATATTATTTGTTGAACGTGTACTAAAATTACGTACGGTATTCATTAATGTTTAGATACGTGATCGTCATGATAAAGTTGGAGTCGATTATTATCTAACAAAACATATATATATACAAGCGCATTTCGACTCACGAAAGAATCATCCCAAGTGTCACATTGCTTTTCGATCGGGATGATGTTTATTTGATAAATGCTAGTGAGTAACAGAAAAATGGAGAAGGACTTGATTTTCCGGGTCATTATTCTTTCGATATTGAAGTTTTAAGGAGTTTTTCAACAAAGAGTTGTGGTTCCCATCAAGTCAAGTTAGACTTTACACTCCACAATTTGACGAACAAAGTTTTGAATGACATTAGTTGATTGTACAACTTTTAACTTCTCTCTTATTTTCTTTTTAGAAATGCAAATATTTGAACACAATTTTCCTTTGGCTACTATTTAAGCGGTCAGTAAAATAAATTAAATGATCAGTAAAATAGATGAAATGGTCAGTAAGATAAATGGTCAGTAAAAAGATTAAATGGTCAGTACTTAGACTATCACTCATATAAAAAAAAGATTGGAAAAAATCTAATTTTAATCGATTTTTTAAATCAAACCAGTGACTAAAATAAATTAAATTTATAAATATTAATTTTAATGGCGGCGACGGTAAAATGCGTTTTCTCAAACTTTATGTTGAAAACTCAGATGTTCGATCTCTTTTTCGGACTCCTTGCCTCGGAAAATTAGTAGATATGATGCTAGATCGACCTTTGACATAAATTCCATGCTTCAAGACTCGATATCAATTGGTACTTATTCATTTAAAAAGAAAAACTATTAGAATTGATTAAAATCGATTTAAAAATTTTAATCGATTTTAATAGATTAAAAATCGAATAATCTGACTAAAATTGAGTAAAATAGTCAATGAAAAAATTTTAATCGGTTAAAATGCATATTTATAAATTTAATTTATTTTAATCACTAGTTTGATTAAAAACCTGGTTAAAACTGTCCCATTTTAATCGATTTTTAATCACAAAAAAATCGATTAAAATTAGATTTTTTCCAATCTTTTTTTCTATATGAGTGATAATCTAAGTACTGACCATTTAATCTTTTTACTGATCATTTATACATTTTTTACTGACCATTTATCTTACTGATCATTTCATATATTTTACTGACCATTTCATTTATTTTACTGACCGCTTAATAATATCCCTTTTCCTTTTATACATGAGAAAATTTCGAATATTCGACATTTCAGAGTACAAGACACTAGAAAAGTTATAAGTTGTTCAATGAACTAATCTTATTAAGAACTTTGTTCGTGCAAAGTTTGAAGTCGAAACTCTTACATGACTTGAGGAAACAATAGCTTTTTGTCGAAAAACTCAGTAAAACTTTGATATTTCAAGAAAAAAGCTCGAAAAACTAAGCCACTCTAGTTTTTTTTATTACTCACTAGTACTCATCAAATAAACATCGTTTCGGTTGAGAAGCAATTCAACACCTGAAGAAGTTTTCTTGTAAGCTATCAAATTGTTAATATGTCTATTTTTTAGAGACCTAGGCTTTCAGAAAAATTACCTTTCCTAATTTTGATTAGAAACTTTCCACACAGAGAGAATTCAACTAGATTAGTTTTCAAAAAAAAAAATCATAAGTTTTGAACAAATTCTCTTCGTGATGTCAGACTTTCAAGATATAGATCCATTTCAATGACTAGTATATACATCATGCAGTTTTTGGAAGCTAGTCTCGTTGTTCTCTATTTGTGCGAAATTCAGAAGCTTACGAGAAAACGTCTCCAAAAGATTAAGAGGTTTTAAGCCTATGTCTTGCCTAATAGTAGAGGACTTATAGATTAGAACCAAGTCTGAAGCGTTCATGCTAACGTTAAAATTTGACCGATATATTGGCTTTTACTGAATTTTTTCTTGTGCAGACCCAAATTTTCGATAAAATTCTATTGTCAAACTTCAGTCTGAAAACTTTGCTCAGATTAAGGTTTCATGGAGACTAGCTGACGAACAATATTTCAGAAATCAAGCGATGTTTTATTGATTCTGTGTAAAACATGCATAGTATGGAATTTTCATAGCTTAGAGGCACTCGATCACAAACATCTGAAGTTTTGTGCATAAGCTATCGTCACTGACATCTTCATCTCGGCAAAGTTTGCACACCAAAACTCGACAATAGGACCTTATCGAAAAGTCGGTCTATATAGAGAAAAATTCATTAGAAAGTCAATATATCAGTCAAATTTTAACGTCAGCACAACACTTTTTGAAGTCTATCCTACTCTATAGGTCTCATACGACTAGGCAAAATACGAGATGTGGGTATTATATTTAGAATAACATCCACAGCCACACTCCACCCTCAACACAACTTTTATCGACGTTTCTCTTATTAATATGAGCTATGAACATTCCTCTATCAGTGGTAAAAAAAACCAACTCCCTTGGTCGAAGTATGGCAGAGATATACAATTTGTTCAACGATAAATGAGCAATTGGAACCATCCTATACTGTGATCCACCGGTGATTCACATCGCCACGAAAGAAATAATAGTACTAGCTAAGTGTTCGTGATGTATCTCCTTATGTAACAACACATTCAAATCAATTATATTTTCTTTTTTACAATTTGAATATTCTTTCGCAAAGTATGAAGATTAGGATGATTTGAAGGTAATGAACATTATTGGATATCAAGAGCGTGTTCATAAAATAAAACGGCATTCGAATAGTCACCCATTTGATGATATATTGAGCCAATGTTGTTGTAAGAAGTACCCAGATGAGGATGATCAGAAGGAAGAGCCTTTTGATATATTTCCAGTGCTTTTCGATGAGATGCAAGTGCATTCGAATAGTCACCCATGTTATTATATACCAAACAAATGTTGTTGTAAGAATCAGCTACATCAGGATGATTCGGAGGAAGTCGTTTTTGGCGAACAGTCAATGCTTTTTGATAAACTGAAAGTGCATTTGCATAGTCACCTATCTTGGAATAAATCAAACCAATATTATTGTAAGAAGTAGCTAAATGAAGATGATTGGAAGGAAGAGATTTTTGATAGATTTCTATTGCTTTTTGATGAGATAAAAATGCATTTGAATAGTCATCCATCTTGTCATACACCAGACCAATACCACTGTAAGAAGCAGCCAAACCAGCATCAGTTGGAGAGAAAATCTTCTGCTTAATTTCAATTGATTGTTTATAATATGTAATTGCTTCAGCATATTTTCCTTGACGATCCTTGACCCATCCAAGCTGATGATAAATATGTGCTTTTTCTCGATCACTAGTGGCTTGATCAACCAGGATATCATACAATTGTTGAGCCTTGTTGAACTGTCCAAGTTTAATCAACAACATACCTAATCTATCTCATCCTTTCTTATGAGGATATGTCTCTTTTCGCAATTGCTCAGTCATAACATGCAGTTGTGAATCACTATCATTCGTTAACATAACATCCGCTTGCCACAGTCGCTTGTTGTCCATTTGTTTAACTTGACCAACACGAAAGATGGAATGCATGGAGATTAGAATTTCCTCTTCTCCTTCGAAATAACTGACATCACGGACGTTAGCGAATAGTGTCGACGAGATGGAAGGATCGATTTTTATTATGAAGAGAATACCTATTAGATCCGTAGTTTCAATAGTATGACGTATAAAATTAAGCGATACTTGACGATTGGTACTAGTCGAAATAAAATTATTAAATGATAAGAGTCCACCTTGTGTTTTGACTAATTGATCAAAATCTTTCTGAGACAAACCTTGTCCGAGAAACACGGTAAATGGTTCTATATGCGGATGTTTAACATATTGATCGTCATGAAGTACAACAATATGGTTGTGAAGATCTTGAATAAAAAAACCCATGCTAATGATAAGATTAACTTCCATCGTACGTAAGGCTCGATTAAGCATTGAATAAAGAAAACAAGGATAAGTATACCACCAGATTGGTAAGTGTTTATGGTATTCACGTGCGAGTTTATTGACATTATTGAGTTCTATCGGATTCTCACTGAAGAGTTGACGACAGTATGAAACGAAGTCATTAATATGTTGCTGATTAAAATCAATAGTAAAAAGAATTTCTTTCAATATCTGAGTGTACATGAATGATGAGTCTAAATGATCTAGATTTTGCTTACTGTTCTCACTACTAGTGATCATAAAACTCATTGAAACTAGGTTTTGGTCACAATCTTGTGCCGCTTGTTTAAGACCTTTACAAATAAGTGCAATATCTGTGAAGACACCTTTTATTTTTGACCAGTTTCGGGCCCAAGTTTCATGTCAAACTTGATCCTGACAAAAAATGTAAATAGCATTGATCTGTTGCATATTGTGTACGACGGGAACAGTTGTTTGTCCCAATGAACCAGAAGAAATCATGAATATTTTGTCTTGTTCTATGTCACTGATGAAATTGACACATTCATCAGCATCCTTGAATATGTAAATTTTGTCTACCACTTGTTTTAATTTTGAAATGGTATGCATACAATCCTGATCTTTTACTTTATCAATGCTTTCGTCAAGCCAGACTAGCAAGAAGTTCTGAATCATACAATCATAAGGTGGCTTTACTATGGTCATTTGTTGAAGTGGCACAGCAGCAGCAGCCGGTGTTTTTTCTTTAGACTTTTGTTTTTTGCTATCCATAGTACAGTTTAATAAAATGAATGCAAAAACAACTTTTGTATTTGTAGAACAGTAAATTTCTTTAATAAAAATAAACGAGGGAAGAACAAACGTATTGAAGTTTTGTTGCTATCGTTGTCAAAAACAAATAACATGCAAGAAAAAGACTGCTATACATTTTCTATTATTTTTTTTTCTATTCTTTCACAAGCTTTTCTTCTTGTTCTCGCATGTTCGTTTGTAAATCACAATGACAATGCCATGTGGAGAGTACGAATGCGTGAAGATCAACGAAAAGCTCACTTATTATCTTTCCTTCCTTCCAACACATCTCACATAAACTGTTGGAAACCAATTAGTGAAGTCTTAACCGATTTAAATATCATGTTGACTTCATACTATTTCAATTTCGTCATAATTTTTCTCAAATTTCAACTCTTCAGAAATTATTTTTTAATTAATCCATGGAGAATGCCTTCTTCGGAAGCAAATGTTGTTAGTAAGCGTGTTCTGGGAACAATAGACCAAGACTTTAAGTGCAAAAAAATTTTCTGTATCTGAGTAAAGAATTATGAACCAGTCTATCATCTACTGTACAGTCTTTGATAGCCAAATTATTGTAAAGAAAAGGTTAATGGTCAAGTCTGGACTCGGTTCTATTTAACTCAATAATTTGGCCACAAAAGAATGTAATCTATTTATGAACATACAGATTGAAGAAGCATATATTTCTTGACAATATATATTTCGAAATAATGTATGAAGATCAGTTATAATGGAATAGCTCATTATTCTTTAGTCGAGCACAGAAAAATTTTTCTGGTATACTGTTAAAGATTATTATTAGAAAAACTAGAATTAGTCATGAATGTATTACTCTGATTATAGCATTTAACTTACAATATTAACAATTCTTCAGTGTACTCAGTAATAATCAATAGGACTGAAATTTGTTACGCTCGTATCAAAATGTGCATCATGTCTTTATTCCTATAAATGTAGTAACAATCTTGAATTCTATGATTTTCTTTTATTTTTCTAGCTTATGCAATAGAAGAATGGTTAAAGTAAAACAACTTACATCAAAATCCATATGAGTTACTTGTAATTAAAAGTAAAATGAAGGCAAAAAGTGTGACGTCAAGGAATTTGTATAAAAGTAGTTAGATAAATTGGGTCTTCGCATACTGTGGTTAGACTAGTCGTTTTCACAGTATAAGATCTAGATAAGAAACAATATTACAGAATAGGGGTATCATTGATTAGAATTAAAAGAAATCTGGCTTTGACATTTATTGAAATTTTGTTGCTAACTTTTATATAACAATAATATGAAAATAATAACAGAGAAAAAGAAACTATGATTTTTCAAAACAACATTGGCGATTTATTCTGGAAATATTCTGCAATTTTTTAGTTGTTTTGCCATCTGTTCATCATTTGACTTTCACCATGGACAATCATTCAAAGAGTTTGTATTGAATTAAAGGCTATTATATTTGAGTTAAGAAAGGAATTTTATCAATTCATGTTAAATAATGCGTAACAAAGACTGCACTATAATAGCGACATTATTGAGCTGAAATTTCAAGATCTAATAAGTAGTTTTTCAGAAAAACAAGTTTTTTTCATAACTTTTTACTTTTTTTTATCTTGTTCTCGAAAAATCAATCTATATTGCGTTATTAAATCATTCATTGTATTAACAACAGCAGCGACTTTATCATATTCAAAATTATCTTTTGTGGTCAATCAAAATTGTTTAGTGAGAAAAGGAGCCATGGGTACTGATTGTACTCATTCCATATAAACTAATTCGAAAACAGGTATTGGATTTCATGTTATTTTACTTTTATGTGATAATGATTAGATCCTTTTGGAGCCAAGTTTTTTCGAAACCAACTCGTACAAACTCTAAAAATTTTATTTCCCTGACATACATAGAGTCTTTCGTAATCAACCATATAAATTTAATTTGAATTTTTTCCGCCATTGTACCTTGCATTAAGAATCAAGAAAGTAACTTAAATAAAGAAAATCGATTCTAACAAGGATTTGAGAGAAGTAAAGCCTTCCCAATATTAGCCTGATTCAAGATCTCTGAAAAATTCCAAACCTAGTTTTTTTGATCATCAAAACTCGTTAGTAGAGAATCAGCTGCTCTGTTGCTCTATGGTATTAAAAGAAACTTCTTTTGGGTTCTGGGTGTTGAAAAGCTAGATTTGAAGGTTTATGGATACGCTGAGCTTTGAGAATATTGTAATCATTTTATTTTTCTCAAAGTCTTGTTGGAAACAATTTTCTCGGTTGATACTACTGTTTGCATTTTTATTCAAGTCATCATTACGGAAACACTCGAAATTCAATCTGTACGTTCAATTTTTAGCGCTACTGCACACATTCTTTTTTGTGCTACTGGGTAATGAGAATTTTTCTTTGATTTTTTTTTCTTAAAACTTATTTATAAATCTAGGAATCGGAGTCGTATCTCGAAATTCAATGCAGGGCTCTAATCATGATTTATTATTTTCATTGTGCGTAGCTTCAGGTCTTTGATCAACATCAGAAAAATTTACGCATAATATTTCAGGTCAACTGCGCCCATTGAAATAGGAACGTTACCATCTCGATGTAGATTCTGTTTGCATGAACGTTAAGCTGTTTGAAAAAGAGATAAAAAAATTGGTCAGCGGTAGTATTTATAGGATTTTTTTCTCAATCTCACTAAAACCTACATATCGCCAGAAGATCAAGTCAAAACTTGTGAATCAGTTGGAGTACTTCTCTCATAAGAAAGAGATGAGGAGAAAATGCGACATTGATTAGCTATTAATAGAAGTTCGTTGCTAGCTACAATCACGCTTCAATCGCATTTATAACGACTACACGAGCTAATACTCAGAAAATCGTTTCTCTAAATTTATGATAAAATTCTAAACTGAGCAATCTTATAAATAAAGCAGTAAAAATATCAAACAATCTAAGAAACACAAAAAATTTTATAATCAAATAGTTTCTCAGCAAACGTAAATATTTCAGATAAACCATATCAAACACTGTAACAATTTGGTTTGTAAAACTCGTAGTTTTTCATAGAACAGTGTAGACCAATTTTATATTAACATGAACATCCAAAAGAAATATTTTTTTCTTTAATAGTGAACAAGCATTTTTATTTATTTTGAGTGATATTTCAATGCTATTCTTTGATGCAATAACTCTTAACACTGCCGTAAAACAATATCTATAAAACAAAAACTTTTTTTTTTAAAAAAAAGTTTTAAAAATTTAATTTAAAGATTTTAGACAACTAACGACAACTGTTGATTATTTTTTCTGTGATGCATATCATATAGATATTATATGGACTGATGGACTCAACATACACTCATGCTAACTCAGCCGCATATCACATTACCATGTGATGTGAGTTGCAGTCGACACTGTCGAAACATGTTGTTTTTTTCTTGCACTCTGTTAACTAACGCTCACGTACTGCCACGAACCCTGAAACAAATTTAATTGGTATTCAATGAGTCATATTCTTACTAATCAATATGATGCTTGCTTTCCTTCTTTAACGTTTCTGTTGTCAATCTGTTACCTCCACAAACGACCGATGAAGAAAAGATTCCCTTGTTCGACTGGTTAGGATAAAGTTATTCGTTATTTCTTTCTCGTTGAGCAGATTGATCAAACGTGTTGCAATTACA